GGCGTAAGAGAAGCCTGTCTCCAGCCAGTGCAATATATTATTGGTTGCATCAACAATTTAAAACCTTTCTCTGAACGTGTGTGCTCTGTTCATATCATGTTGTTCTCTTACTGCCGTCTACCTTGCCTGACCCAGCTCTAAAAGGGTAACATACCTGTCTACATCTCTATCAACGTAAGTACGTACTTACCAGCATATACTTGGAGTACGTAATAACTACAGTCGTCTTGGGGAACTGGTACATATACACATCACATCATTCTTACTTCTCCTTCCCCTCCTGCCCTCTCCTCCTACCCACCCCTTTCTCCTTCGTTGCTTCTTCATCCTCTTGTTCTCCTCTTCTTCCTCTTCTTCCTTTTCTCCTGTTTTCTTCCTCCTCCTCTTCTTCTTCCTCCTCTTCCTCTTCTTCCTCCTCCTCTTCCTGTTTCTTCTTTTCCTTTTCCTTCTCTTCTTCCTCCTCCCCCTTTTCCTGTCCCTCCTCCTCCTGTTCATTACTACATGTTTGTGATGCATTAAGATTAACATCTGTAGTGGGGAGTTGGTACAGAAACATAACGCAGGATGCTTATGTCCCCCTCTCCTCTACCCTTCCTTCTATTTGCCCTTACCCCTTCCTCTTTTTTTGCTAAGTATTCTGGGTCCACAGGCATCTATTTGAGAGAACTTTTAACCTGAACAGGTTTTAGAGTACAGGTTCAGTGTAATGAAGATAAAAGATTTTCAGGTATAGGAGAAGAAGGATTGGAATGGACATATTATTGATGTTTCTATAAATGAAAAACTGAAATGAAAAGAAGTTAAAAGCAAAGATGATAGCTGATAAGCTATTGACACTTGTTACTAAAAGTATAAATGGGTAGAAAGGATTCTAACAGAAGAAAAACTTAGAGTAGACCCTCAGTTATTTTATGGAATGACTAAAAACGTATCAAAAATTCTAAATCAGTATCTGTATTGCTGCAGAATACCATTTCAGGAAGATGTCCAAGTGTATACAGATCCCGAAGCGTATATGTTTTTAACCCACTGTCCAGTGTGACTTAGCTGTATTCTGTACAGTCGGTCCCTAAGTGCTGTCAGGAACTTTTGGCTAGCTTTAAATCCCCAGTGGGTAAATGTACCTGTGGTCAGATGGGAAAAGTGATTACTTTCACCAGTCCGTTGACTTGAGCGAGTGCCTTAAACTTCTTGTATATATTTTATCAACCATCGTAAAGCATAGTTTGGGTTGGAGCAGTGGCTTTGGGTGTCAGCTTATTTTCCCATCAAGTGTTGATTTGCTTTTCACAAGGACTCTCTCCAGTCCCCACTCTGCTGTTCCATCATCAGTACGCAGTGTAGGGGAAGCCTCGTCTCGTTGCTCAGTCTCTGTTCACTGAGGTCGAATTGTATGGAGTTTTCTCTGTAGTTAGAGAGGGACGTGTCAGAATGTAAACAGTGAACAGAAATGCAGAGGAGGTAGATGGTAAGATTTGTTGGAATATGCATTAGTAAAAAAAGTCTGTTTGCAAACAGATTTAATGAAGATTCTTTTTAATGAAAAAAGATTTAAAAAGATTTTCTTTAAAAAGTTTCCCTAAAGTTTTAAGAAATGAAAGTAAAAAAGTGATCTAGAAATTGTGGAAAACATTATTTTGATGCGTTTCCAGATTGAGGCTTATGACACTAGGATAAATAAGAATTTCGGGGCTGTCAGCTTTGACCATGGGTCTGTCCAACCAGGTTGTGCGTTGTTCCTAGAGGAGTTGAAAGATACTGGGTAATGGCTCCATCAGCACTTGCGCTTTGTGGACCGACGTTTTTTTTGTGTTTGTCTTGTTTTTGAGATAGGGTCTCGCCAGGGTGCCCAGGCCGGGCTCCAGCTCCTGGGCTTCGTCTCCGCTGAGCTGGGACTGTGCCTGTCTTCAGATAATGAATGTTGACTCACTTTACCTTTAGTTTTAAAACCCTGGGAGTTTTTGGAATGGGAGCTGTGGGTGGAGATGTCAGGGCTCTCGCCTAAGACGGTGCTCACCCTTACCGTTCTCCGTGGCTTCCTCCTTTCTGCTGCTCTTGCTCGTTTGTTTTGCTTTTCCTTGGCTCATCTCACACAGATGGAAAGAAAGTATTAAATGGACTGAATGGTAATTTATTCTTTTTCTTCTTTCTAAATCTTGCCACACCTACTTTAAGGTGAAACAAAAATCGTGAATTAACAAAAGATTCCTTTAAGTAATTTTATTTAGTCACAAATGCCCTGGAGAATTAAGGAGAATCAAATTAAGGAAGTGAAGTTTTCACATGACTGAAACTGATGTATTTGAGAACTACAAGAATAGAGTTCTTCACCGTAAAAGCCAAAAATAAAAAACGGGTCAGCAGTTAAAAAAACTGTGCACTTTTTTAAAATTTTGAGACGGGTCTCACTAAATTGCCCAGTGGCCTTGAACTTTGAATCCTCCTGCCCCAGCCCCCTAGAGTGCTGGGGTTACAGATGTGTGCCACTACACCCCCTTTGAGTAATTTATTTCTGAATAATTTTGGTATTTGGAAAGAGGCTTATGTGAACAATTTAAATAATAAAGAGAACTGCGAAGAAAATAAAATTAGATATTTTGTTTCTTAGAGAACTCTCTTTTAACAAGATGGATATTTTGTATAGTAGTGGCTTTAACCTTTTGGATATGCAGTAAGCATTGAATTTTTGTCCTGTTAGTTGGATTGTAACTCAACCTTGTTCATGCTGTTTTTCTTTTTCCGCTGCAGGTGTTTTAATTTTTTTTTTTTTTTTTGGTTTTTCTCTGGTACCGGGAACCAAACTCACGACCTTGCGATTGCCAGGCAGGCACTTTGCCGCTGAGCTAAATCCCCAGCCCCTGGTGTTTTAATTTTTATATGGTTATGTTTTTCTTTCTGATTTTACATACTGTGCTGTGCCAAGATTGTTGAGATAATTTTGCTGTCTTTCCTTGTACTATGCACACATGTGCTGCGGTGCTGCATTTGCACTTTGGATTCATCTTAAATCCATAGTGTGTGAGGTAGTCATGAACCTTTATTTGTAAACTGGCTGGTGTACCCTTTTAAAATTTATGAAATTAGCCATTTTTTCCTCGCTGATGTGAAACATCATATCAGGTACTAAATCTTCAAATATGCTTGGGTTTATGTCTGTATTCCCTATTATGTTTTATTCGGTGTCGTCTTGTGCTAATAAGACTAATAAATTTAAATAGTACTAAAGTTTAATTACTATAGTCTTATAATGAGTTTTAATATGCAGTAAGGCAAATCTCATTAGGAATTTTTGGTTATTCCTTTATGAAGTGTCTCAATTTATAATACTTTCCAACATGGTTCAAGGGATCACCTTTCGAAATAATCTCTGCTCTAGTTTTAGAAACAGTCATTTAAATTTTTTGTTATAAAGTGGGTTTCAATCTTTATGAAAGAATGGAATTCAATTTAGTCATATGAAAAGTAACTATACTGAATTATTAAATGAGTAACAACTTATCTTTGGTTTGATCCTGTAATAGTTTTAGTCTCATTACTTTTTATAACAGTGCCATTAAAAGTACTCTTTTAAGGATATGGTCCAAAAACATTTCAAATGTGTCATATCTGGGGACAGAGTTATTCTGAGTAAATAGTCTAAGTACCAGGAATTTTAGCTAAAAATAACAGTAAGGGAAGAACTCAGCACTCTTGGCCACTTTGGACTCCTTGCGGTCAGGGTATCGGTCTCACTCGCTGCGTGTTGGTTTGTCTAGGAACGATTCTCTCAGGTGCAGACTTGGCCGGGGAACGCCTGGTCGGCTGCTGTCCTTGCCTGCCCCTCTCCAGCGTGGGGTGACCCCTTCTTTCCACTGGGGACTGGCCAGGGTGTCGCTGGCCTCTGGCCTGGGAGCTGTTGGAACCAGTCTTCCCTGTGGCCTACTTTTTCTGATTTAGGAAGAAAATAAATGCATTCTCTTAAAACTTTTGGACTTAGAAGATTCAACGTTGGTGGGTTTTAAAAAATAAGCTTTTTAAATTCTAAAAAACAGAAAAACCTGTGTTCTTTGGGTAATATTTGGAAAACGTGGACGGTTGTGATGTGGAAGCAGCGGCACAGGGAGATGCTGACATGGTGTACTTCTTTCGGACCCTCCCTCACTTGTGCACTCGGTACTCAGGCTTCAGGGTCTACGTAGTGTCCCCGCTTTGGCAGACTTTGCGCAGACATTTGTAGTGGACTCATAAGCCGACGTGCAGATGCGCTGTATGTCATTTACATGTTTTATAAACTATTTCTTGCTTCTCCAGATTTTGCTAAATATGTATACAGTTTTTTTGAAGAAACATTTTCTTTCAGTTTCTTTATTTTAGTTGTCAGTTTAAAAAATTCTCATTCTGGTGAGAGTGCCGCTAGCAATATACGGTATCCATATTTTATTAATTTACCAGTTCACTTTTTCATTTAATGAATTTTTTTGAGATGCATGGCAGGCAGAACTTGAGGATGCTCAAAACTATTTAATGCCTAGTGTAAGAGACAGGGAAGACACAAGTAATTACAGACCACAGTAGCATGATAAGTGCTGCGGTAGAGAAGACCACAGGCCCTGTGAGAACTCCTTGCTGCTATAAAAAACCAAACCCACAGACTGTTTGAATTTTGCTGCTCTTAGAACAAAATTCTCATCCTGGCTTACAAGGCTGTGTGCTGCAGCCCTCCTGTATAACTGGAGCTTTGTCTCTTTCGGACCCTCTGTGCTCCAGACACATTGGCTTTTCCAGATTCTTCCAGTAGATCATGTTTTTCTCTCGCCCTTGAACTGTAAGGTATAATAGCTTTTAATACAAATTATAAAACAGAATGCCTGTTCTTAAGAGAAATGAATGTATCAGTTTTCTGAGTATGTATTTATAACTCTGTAAGGCTAATGTTCTGTGCAGCATTCTTAAAAAGTAAACTACGTGAATTATTGCAAATGAGCATGAGCATTTTCAGTTATAATTTGTTCCTTTTTCAGATTATGGCACATGTCTCAATTTTTCCTCAACTGAAGTTATGAAGCACACACTTACGAGCTACATTTAATCATATTTTAAAGTAAGAAAACATTTTCTGTTATAAATTTAAGCCAATTCTGTGTTTTAAAAAATGCTTTAGTGTTGAGATAGGAAGGAAATGTAGGAAATGCCATAATTTAAAAGTAAAATAAAACCATTAGGCTATATATGGAAGTAGTGACTTAATGTAAGTGGAAATCTCCATTGTGAAGACAGTGAACATTTTAAATAAGATCTAAAATCACTTTCTCTAATTAAAATAAAGCAGCTGTGGCTGTTCTTGTTTAAATTTGTGTGCTGAGAATCGAACTCAAGGCTCTGCAGTTGCCAGGCAGGCGCTGTGCTGCTGAGCTGCCTCCCCGGCCTGGGCTGTTCGTGTGAGTGGGAGCTGTGCCGTGTGCTGTGTCCCCTGTGAGTGACCGGGGAGATTATGGCCTGGTGTAGCGAGATAGTAACATGTTACATATTTGGCATTGCATGTTTTCTATGGTTAAAATATAATCATATTCTGTGAATCTTCTGACTTTAAAATGTGAAATTGGTCGGCTCATTTTCACTTCAAATTGTATTTAATCATTTAAGTAACTATCAGTCTGGCACCATGTAATATGTAACTTATTTTTCTTTAATTTAAAGTCAGTACAGAAGATTAAACTACAGAAGAATGCAATCAAGTGATGGCTTCTTAGAGTTTGAATATGGAAGCCACGGGAACAGATGAAGTTGACAAGCTAAAAACCAAGTTCATCTCCGCTTGGAACAACATGAAGTACAGTGAGTGTCACGATGCAAGAGTTACATAAATCCAGGGAAGTATTTGAAGATCTGACTCATCTTCCCTACACTGACGATGACTTGAGAATGAATGAAATACTGTATCTAACGTGGAATATTTTTGTAAGGAATGTAGATAAGAGTTTCCTGAAGAGAGTATCATGATGAACATTGCTTAGAAACTCAAATATACTGTGTGATTCTCTTTTTCTCCTTAACTTGACAGAGTGTATTGGTATGCTGCTGGCTTACCTAATTTTTTCAACATCCTGGAGCAGATAGAATTTATTCAGGTGATGATACTCTAGTTCTTCACGTTCAGTTCCAGGCATCCTCATGGGTGAGCAAGCAGTCAGCAGAATTGACCTCTGAGCACAAAAACAAGTGGTGTACAGTTCTCCTCCGTGTACCCGCAAGCCTTTATTTTTTGGCCTCATTACTCTGGCAAACAAAATCTAAACAGGCAAATCTAGTAGGATTGTTGGAGATGGTGGATATCTATCCCTCAAGGATAGAGAAGTGTTCAGGCAGAATTAGTTCCAACAGGAAGAGGTTCATTCCCTAGAGCAGGAATGAGAATGAAATTCACAAAGAGCTTCAGATAATGCAAATTCTTGTAAAACATAATTGACATTTGCCTGCTGGTCCACTGGCAGTGATAGCCCGATGGCTGGATGGACAGTTGTAACTTGGCAGTAGCATGACATTGCAGCTTGAAGAGTTTGAACATCATTTTTTTTCTTACAGTGAGATGTATTGCACATCAATATACAGTGTACCTTTTTAAAGTGCACAGTTTTTATTTATTTACTTTTTGTGGTGCAGGGGTTTGAACCCAGGACCTCATGCATGCTTAGCGTATACGGTTCCACTGAGCTACACCCTCGGCCCCAATTAAAAAAGATGTATGACCTAGTGGTTTTTAGAATCATCACTCATTCTGGAGCATTTTTATCATCCCCAAAAGCCACTTTGTACCTGTTAGCACCATTCCTTTCTTCAGCCTCCTTTGTTTCTGTGGATTTCACTGTCCCGGACATGTCATATAAATGGGACTGACAGTTTGTGACCTTTTGTGTTTGGCTGTTGTCAGCATAGTGTTTTCAAAGTTTATCTGTATTAATAGCATATGTGTTTCAGTTCTTCATTTGTTCATATGACTGAATTCATTGTGTGACTACTATATTTTGTTTACCTTTTATCATTTGATGTATTTTTGAGTCATTTCTGGTTTTGGCTGTTATGAATAATGTTGCTATGAACATTTGTGTACAAGTTTTTGTGTGAATGTATCTTTTTAAGTCTTTGTACATTGGGTTTATTGCAGCAGTGGGATTGTTGGATCATAAGTTTAACTTTTGATGAACTACCAACTGTTCTAGAGTGGCTGTATCATTTTATGTTCCCTTCAGCAACATTGGGGATTTGAGTTCATCCACATTCTCCCCAACACTTATTATTTGCCGTTATGATCCACTCCAGTGGATGTGAAGTGAACACTCACTGTGGGTTTGATTTGCATTTTGCTGATGACTGGTTATGATTAGCCTCTTTTAATGACCTTACTGTGTAGTTGTATACTGTCTTCGGAGAAATGTCTATTCAGACCCTTGGCCTATTTTGTAATTCAGTTGTCTTTTAAAAAAATTGAGTTGTAAGTGTTCTTTATATATTCTAGATACTAATCCATTAGCAAATATGTGATTTGCAGATATTTGCTCCCATTTTTCAGTCATTATGTCACTTTGATGAGAGTGACCATTGGAATGTAGAACTTTTTAATTTCGGTGAAGTCTGGTTTATCTATCTTGTCTTTTGTTGCTTGGCTTTTGTTATCATAGTAAAGAAACTCTTATTTAAATCAAGATGATGAAAATTTGTGTGTATGTTTCCTTATGAGAGTTTTGTTGTAGCTCTTACATTTAGATTTTTGATCTATTTTGAGTTAATTTTTAATATTGCATATGGAATGAAGTAGGAGTCCAACTTTATTCTGTGTTGCTATCTAGTTTTCTTAGCATCATTTGTTGAAAATTTTTGTTTCTCCACTAAATGGTCTTGAACCATCTGTCTAAAATCAACTGACCTTAGATGTGTGGATTTATTTGTGAGCTCTGAATTCTATTCCATTTAGCTCTGTGTTTATCTTTATGCCTGTACTACACTGTCACAGTTACTGTAGCTTTGTAGGAAAGTATGAAATTGGAAAGTGAGTCTTTCAGCTTTGTTTTTGATTATTCTGGATCGTTCATATTTTAGTAAGAATTTTATGATCATTCTGTCAGTTTCTGTAAGAAATTCAGCTGGGATTTTGATAGGGACCTGACTGAATCTATAGATCGATTTCAAGAATATTGCCATTTTAACAATATTAAGCCATCCTATTGATGGACGTGGATGTCTTTCTATTTATTTCTTTTTAAATTTACTTCAGTGGTTTTAGTGTCTTCTGTTTTTACTGGTGAAACTCACTCGGAAATGTCTTTTGTACCTTCCTTCCTCATTGTCTGTGTCAAGGAAGTGAGGTAGGAAGGAGTGGTGCTGACCGAGTGCCCACTGTGGGCTGGGCTTTGCAGTGCCTGGTAGTTACCCTCACACCTCTCTGAGGCGGGTGTGGTCTGTGTGGGATTTCTGTCTGACCTGTCTGAGAGTCAGCTTAAAGGGAGTAAGGGTGTATTGTGGCTCGTGGTTTCAGAGATTTTAGTGCATGGTCAGCTGTGCCATCGCTCTGGCTCTAAGGTGAGGCAGAGCGTCACTGGACGGGGCACATGTGCAGGCTGTTCCCCTCGTGGTAGCCGGGTCCCGAGACAGAGGAGAGGAGGCTAAGGTCCCAGTGTCCCCGAGGGGCCCTGGTGGCCTAACTGCCTTCCATGACGCGTGGTCTTCTGAAGGGCTCACTACTCAGCAGTGCCATACACTGGGAACCAATCCGTAAGCACATGGCCCTGTGGGAGACACGGAAGATCCAAACTTGGCATTTTTTTTGTTTTGTTTTTGATAAATTGGAGGACAAATTTAGTGGCATGTTCAAATCATACATCTAGTTAAATTTGGAAACTAGGATTCAAACTTATCCTTCCTTGTCTCCAGTTTAGCTCTTCTCTGAGTACAGTGTGCCTAATTTAGGGTTATTTTCACTAAAGTGAGCGTGATGATGTGATGATGATGGCCCTACCCATGGGGTAGCATTTAAGATACGACAGCACTGGCCTGTGCTTTCTTGAAATGTCTTTTTTGTTTTGCTTTCTGCTCTCCTTTTTTGCATGACCATATGATGAATATAAATTTGGCTTCCTCTTTAAAAAATTAATAAGCAGATCATTCTTCTAGACCTTTCTGCTCTTCAAGCTCATTATTTCTTTACTCTTTGTCTTATTGCCATCTTTAAAGCCTTATTTTTGATTTTTAAACAATTTAGGGAAACTAAAGCAGAATTTGTACATTTTCATTTTTGTACCATAAGAACACTGACTTGTCAGAGTTAATTAAAATGAAAAATATCTTCATTCTCATGTTTTTTAAGTGAATGGAATATGATGAAAAGACGTTATTTGAAGGTAGCATAAAGAACTTGTATTTTTAATTCATTGTCCAGATATTTTGCAACTCTTAAAAATGCACACCCATAAAAGATAATTAATAGGTTGAAATTAAGTTGTAACAAATACTGCTAGCCTCTTAATCCTTTAATAACAAACCTGCTTTTCTCTGTTCGTTTAGGTTGGGTGTTGAAAACAAAGACATATTTTAGTAGAAATTCCCCTGTATTGTTGCTTGGAAAATGTTACCACTTTAAATATGAAGGTAAGTGCTAAATATGTGAAGCATTTAAAAATCTTTGAATACATTCATTGTTAAGCTGTTTTTATTGTGTTATTTTCACAGTCATCTATTTTTCCCATATTTTTCTTAGGTACTTTTATTTCATGTAACACATAATATATTACCATATCATATGTTTTGGTTTCTCTGAGCTTCTGCAGGATAAGATCTTCTGTTATAGTCTTCATATTTTTGAACTACTCAACTTTCAGTATGAGTACTAAGTAAATATTTTTATCTTTTTTTTATTTTAAAGAATAAAAGAAGGATAACATAATAATAGGGGGGACTTAGCGAATTACAGACAAAATGGTAGGAAATTATCAATGGTTA